TAATACACCTTTAAATTTTTCAAAAAAAAAAGCAAAACAAAATCCAAATCTGCTGCCATCAAGTTATCCCAACTAATGTTAGAACTGCCCCATCGGACTGTTTTTGGTTTTGTTCTGTTTTGTTTTTGTTGTAATCGTTATGGAAACAGATTGCCAGGACTTTCTTTTGAGGTACTACCAGGTGTGTTCTAACCATAAAACCATTTGCTTCACTCAGGGACCTTCAAAAGACCACATTGTTATTGTTAGATGCCATTGAGTCAATACTGACCCTATGCACAACAGAACAAAACACTGCCCAGTCCTGGGCCAGCATCACAATTGTTGTTACACTTAAGCCCACTGATGCTGCCACTTGGCCAATCCATCTCACTGGGTGACTTCCTCTTTTTCTCTGACCCTCCACCTTGCCAAACATGATATCCTTCTCTAGTGACTGGTCCCTCATGACAATATGTCCCAAGTATGAGAGACGAAGTATGGCCATCCTGGCCTCCATGGAATACTGTGACTGCACTTCCTCCAACACAGATCTGTTGGTTCTTTTGGCAGCCCATGGCACTTTCAATATTCTCCTTCAACACCATAACTCAAATGCATCAATTCTTCTATGGTCTTCCTTATTCACTGTCCAGCTTTCGCATGCATATGAGGTTATTGAAAATACCATGGCTTGGGTCAGTCGCACCTTAGTCCTCAAACTGACATCTTTGCTCAACACTTTAAAAACGTCTTATGCAGCAGATTTGCCTAATACAATACGTTGTTTGAGTTCTTAGCTGCTGCTTCCATGAGTGTTGATAGTTGATCCAAGAAGAATGAAGTCCTTGACAACTTCAATCTTTTCTCCATTGATAAGAACGTTGTTTATTGATCCAGAGGTGAGGATTTTTGTTTTCTTTACATTTCTTTACATTGAAAAGTCCACATACCTAGCCACTATTCTGTATTGCCTCTACTTGTCTATAAAATGGGCTACGTAGGACCTCACTGATTTTGTAAAGCAAACTGAAAGAATGATACCTGCCTCGACATGTGACAAGTAAAACCAATTGCCTTTAAGTCGATTCCTCAGACCACATGTGTTGCAGAGTACAACTGTGCTCCACACGGTCTTCATGGCTGTGATCTTTTGGAAGTACATCAACAGGCCTTTCTTTCAAGGCCCATCTGGGTGAAATCAAACTGCCAGCCTTCCAGTTAGTAGTGCAACTCTTAATTGTTGGTGCCATCCAGGGACTAGATTATGTAATGAACGCTGTTGTTGTTATTAAGTGCCACTCAGTGAGGTCTAACTCATATAGATCCAGTATAAGGTTTCTGAAGAGTGACTGGTGGGTTTGAACTGCTGGCCTTATGGTTAGCAGTCTAGTGCTTGTGCTATAGTGCCACAATTGTGTTGCTATTATTACGTGCCATCGAGTTGGTTCTGAGTCATAGCAAGCCTATATAGTTTTTGTGGTTTTTTTAAGTTTTTATTGTGAATTGAGTGATAGTCTACATGGGAGAACATCAGTTTTACATTCATCCTATTGTATTTTGTTTCATTGTAATGATTACAATCCCCTCCATGCATCATCATTAAACAGCATTTACTTCCATTCCCTCTGGGTTTTTTTTAATTGAGGGAGATGTACACCGATGCACTCAGTAATATATAAACATTCAAACAACCAAAGGGTACATCCCACAAGCCTGCCCCCCAGCCGTCAGCATACAGCCTCTCTCCCTCTCTGAGTCCAGAGTCCCCAGCTGTTCCATCTCTTCACAACATCATCTCTGCCTCCATCTCTGGCATTGCTGCTTCTCTGGGTAGGGTCCTGCACTCCGCTCTTCTTTCTTAATGGCCCCAGGGTCCTCTGCTCCTGGACTGCAAGATCAACCACTCCCCTCCTTTTGTTACAAAATGTCTACCTTTACTTTTCTAACACTCACAGTCAGTCCTGATAGTAATTATTCACTATTGAACCACAAGAGTCTATTCCCCATCTCCTTTCACCAGCCTCATCCAGACAGGTGGGAAACCATTCAGTGGAGAGTCTACCTTCCCTTGTACCTTCTGGAACCAGGTTCCCTCTTGAAAGCCAGTCACTTCTTGCCTTTGTGGCCCCCCATTTTAGGTAGCCAATATCTAAGTTGCCCATTCCTGTCTACCCTGTGTACTGATGGGGTAGGAATGATCCTCACTGTAAAGATTCTTTCCTTCTTTTGAACTACTACATCCATAAGTATAGGTCAAGTTGATCAAATTGTAGCAGGTTGCTCTCTTTTTTTAACCCTGTATATGTTTTCTGAGGCTTTAAATCTTGGAGGAAGCAGAAAAACCTCATCTTTTTCCTGTGGAGCTGTTGGCAGGCTCAAATCTCAGACCTTGTGATTCGCAGTCCGGTGCTTATCTTATGGAGCCACCACATTACCACAGTGCCACAATTTGTTGTTGTTGTTAAGTGCCTTGAAGTCTGTTCCATCTCATAGTGACTCTATATAGTCACTACGCATCACAATAATAACAATAAATGCTAGTTGACATTGTTAAGTATTATTTCTGGCAGTTTCTTAGCACTCATTTATTTATTATTATTAACAATAGCTTCTATCTTGACCACATACTATGTATCAAGCCTTCATTCAGCCTTCCCAACTACCCAAAGGAGAAATCTTTTATAGATGAAGAACACTGAGACTCAGAGACAAAATCTTGCGGTGCTAGAGACAGCATGCAAACCTAGGGGCTGTCTTAGAATCCAGCACTGGGAGACACACCAGCCTCACACCTCACCCCATTCACGACTTTCCTTGGCAGCTCTCTGCCCCCCCACTCAACATCCCTGGTGACAGTCCTTCACCCCCACTCAACATCCCTGGAGACAGGGTACGGGTCCTCATGTTTGAACATTTATCAGAATTGTTTGCAGGGTTTATTAAGACTACATTTTTGGGGTCCTCCTCCCCCAACAAACACACATAAACACATGTACACATAGGCACACATACAGTTTCTGATTAGGTAGGTCTGGACATGGCCTGAGAATGTGCATTTCTCACAGGTATCCTGGGGTACTAATACTGCTGTCCAACCAGGAGGACATGATTCTAATAGTCCGTGGAGTGGTCGCAGTAGAAGTGATGCTTTTCTTGTTGTTAAGTGTCATGGAGTTGGGTCTGACTCATAGTGACTCTGTATAGGGTTTCTGAGGAGAAGCTGGTGGATTTGAACCACCAACCTTGTAGTTAGCAGTCCAGTGCTTATCCGACAGTGCCACACCAGATGTGATGGCTTCCCTCAATGTGTCTGTGTTCAAATCTGAAACAGACCTCCCCAGGAGGCTGTCCTACATTTGACTGAAGTATCTATGTGATGACCTTGCTACACAAACTTTACAGACTGGTCTGCTCACCACAGTTCCTGACTGAACTCAACCTCCTCCCACCCTTACTGTTGTTGGCACTGTAGCAGCATTGGACTGTCAACCACAAGGTTGGCAGTTCAAACCTACCAGCTACTCCTCGGAAACCCTGTACAGGGTCACTATGTGTCAGAACCGACTGGATGGCATTTAACAACAACAACATTGTTTGAGGGACTCTTATTTTCAAGGAGCCTGGGTGGCACAATGTGTAAAGCACCCAGCTGTCAACCTAAAGATCAGTGGTTCAAACCCACTAGCTGCTCCACAGGAGAAAAGACCTTGAGATCTGCTCCTTTTATAAAGATTGTTGTTGTTGTAAAGTGCCATGACCTTGAACAGGGTTTCTAAGGAGTGGCTGGTGAGTTTGAACTGCCAACCTTGCAGTTCAAACAGACCTTGTGGTTGAGTGCTTATCTTACAGTGCCACACCAGAATCCCCCCATAAAGACGTGTTGCTGTTGTTAAGTGCCCTCAAGTCTGTTCTAACCCATAGCGACCCTGTATAGGGTTTCCAAGGAGCGGCTGTGAGCTTGAACCACCGACCTTGCAGTTCAAACGACTTTGCTGTCTGACGCATTAGCCCACAGCGCCACAAAGAGTAAAGCTTAGCAAACCCTACTGGGAAGTTTTGTTCTGTCCTATGGGGTCACTGTCAACTTGGCAGCTTGTACCAACATACTTTAAAACTTTTTACCAAGTAACACCAGCTGTTCTTTTTTCTGCAGATGTTATTTTACAAAATAACATCTGCTGTTATCAAAATATAAGTAAATAAAATTAGGGAAAAAAGCTTTATTATTGTTGAAAATTTAGAAAAGTACCAAAAAAGTTTTAAAGGGGGATAAGGAAGAAAATTTAAATTAGCCAACATCCCATTATTTGTGGATTATAATTATTAATAGTTTGATGTATTTTCATGTTTCCTTACAACGTTTTGTTATTTACATGGATTTATTAATATTGGAGTAAAAATATAGTTTTCATACACTACTATCAAGTCAATTCTGTCTTAGAATCACACTATATAGGTTTTCTGAGAAATAAAATCTTTACGGAAGCACTATCATCTTTCTTCCAATGAGTGAGTGGTGGATTTGAACACTGATTTTGCAGTTAGCAGCCCAATAGAAAACTACTATTCTAGATGTGCTCTATGAAGGCCAGATGCTGGTGTTTTCATTATGAGATTTAAAGAAGGAACTGGGCCTTGCTAAGGATGGCTTCCTGGTTGGATGGCAGAACTTTGCACCACCAGCAAGCGCAAAGGCACACAAATGAGGATCATCATAGTTATGGGGTGATGAGTGGTGCAGGAAGAAACTGGGGTTGGGTCAACTGAGTGGGGACAAATTAAGGAGACCTGTAACTGGTTGACCTTAGGAGGCACTTGGGAGCCATTGCATGTTCTTGATCAGGAAATGACTTAACAAAGACATTTTCCCAAAGATGAACCATGCAATGGCAGACAGGATGGATTGGAAGGGAAGATTGGGGAGTCAGGGAGAGCAGCAAGGGTATTCAAGTGGGGAATGATCTTGGGACTTCCAGCTCCCTGAGTCCCTGTTCTAGCATGGTGTGACCTGGATGGGTCTACTTCTGGGCTGCCAGGATGGAGAGGGACTGGTTGGTCTTCACCATGGCAATAATGAGGAGGCCACTGGTCAGCAGGAAGGTGGGCCAAAAGAGGGAGAGTAGGAGAGTCTGTGGCCCATAGAGGCGCCGGTACAGGACGCTGGTCTCATTCTCCCGAGTCGTCGAGAAGCAGTAGAAAACCTGATGCTCCTGGAATTTGGCTCTGACCTTCTGTACGTCAACTAGGGCCACTGGATAGTTGTCCAGGCTGCTTGGGATGTAGGAGCACTGTGGAGAAGAAGTAAGAGCACCCATGGGGTTAGAAATCCCTTGTCTTAGGGCCCAAGGGTGAGGTGCTCCTCTGGAGTCAGGACCTCTAGGATAGAATCAGAAAAGTCCCAGAGTTACACCATGCAAGGTGTTACTTGTGTGCCAGCCTCCCTCTGGGGTAGTTCAGTACCCAAGCTGCACAGCTGTAGACAGTGGCCCAGGTTGGAGTCCAGCTCTGCTTCCTACTGGCTATAGACTGTTAAAACAAATCACTTACCCTCTCTGAACCTTGATATTTTTATCACTTAAATGGGCTAAATAAAAACAAAAACAGAAAACAAAACCCAGTTGCCATTAAGTCAATTTCTGGTTACCTGTGTGTGTCAGAGTAGAAACGACTTTGTAGGGTTTTCAGTGGCTGATTTTTTTTTTTTTTGTAATTGAATCACTGGGAATTTCTTCCACAGTAACTTGGGGGTGGACTCCAACCTCCACCCTTTCAGTTAGCAGCCAAGTGTGTTAATCATTTGTACCATCCAGGGACTCATAATTGGCAAAGAGCAGTGTTGTTTTCAAAAGATACTATTTAAAGACGGGCTTCAAACTTAGCTGTCTATGTTGGCCAATGAACGAAATAGGCTAATAAGCTCTGCATTTCTGCTCAGGGCAGGTTACACACTCCATTTTCTATTGGGCCCGGCCAGGTGTCAGCTGAAGGAATGACAGACAATGTAAAAGAAGGACATAGGTGTAAGATTCAGATGGTAAGTATTGACTGACATTGGATTTGCAGGAAGTGGCTGGGCTGAACCAAATGGAGGGAGCTGGATTCATCTAAATGGGCAGTTATCTCACCATCTGAACAGTTGATGCTATACCACCAGCTAGGCCTCCGCATTTCAAGAGACGATAGAAAACCAGATTTTAAATAACAACTCCTCCAGTTTGAAAATATTGGCAAAAATTCAAACTTAAAACCCTTTGAGGTCTGATCCTGTGTCAAACCAGATATGAAAGAAAGACTGTTTAGAAGAGCTCAAAGCAGGTGGCATGTGATGTGCATTTAACTCTGTCACTGACCATTCTGAGAAGGAAGATTCTGCTCTGTTCAGATGAGGCCCAGATGGAGAGCTCAGCAAAGGAGGCACCCAATGGAGACCTGGGTTTTATCTGGTTTCTGCATCCAGAGTCAGAAGATTGGTCTTGTGAGAATTTCTGCAAGTGAGTGTGGCCCCTCCCGCAGCCTACAGCAGAAGATCTGGAGGGCTGTGAGAAACCCAGGCTCCTGCTGAATCTGAGTCCCTGAGGATGGGGCCACAAATCAGTTCATTCCTCATGTATTAGAGCCCGAGGAGGATTGTCTTAGTGAAATCATGTCAATGATCTACCTGTGAACAAATAGGACTCCAGTGGCAATATTGAGGCAGCTTCTTCCCCTGCCTCAGTTATCTTTGCATTGGAGTAAGGTTGCTCACCCCCAAACCTGTCCTGAGAGCATTCAGTCCCAGAAATTAGAAAATGAGGATGGCAGCAATCCCTGTCCAACCAGGGAGCAACTGAGGCTCTCTATGCATTCAGGGCTTTTGGGGGCTGCAGCAGGGTCAGCAGACACAGGTGGATCCCAAGTCCTGAGTTGACAAAGGCACTCCTTTGTCTATGATCTCGGGTCACATACTAGATGAGCAAAAGTTCAGTTATGGAGACAGACAGTCCCAAGTTGTAGGAACTTGTCAAGTTCTCTAATCTCTTGAAGTCAGGTACAGCAGGTGTGGGAGGTGACAACTTAGTAGTAATTTTGTGTAGATTTTAATGAGATGATACTACAAAGTGCTTAGCTCAGAGCCTAGTCCAGAAGTAAGCGGAAGATTATAAGCGCTGGCATTATTGCTATTATGAACATCATTATGACTTAGCTATGAAACGGCAGCAATTGTCCCCTCTCCTTATTAAAGTGGGCCTTGTGGATGAGCTCTGAGCTGGGATTTGTGCCCAGCTGGGTCTCACTTTCCCCTTGCCTGCTTGTAGTTACTCTGGGTCCTTCATACTGGCCAGTATGGGGAGACAATGGGCAGGAGTTTGCTTTGCAAGGCAAAGCTTACACCTGGAGTCTGTTTGCCTCCTTTTGCCCCTGCCCTGATCTTGTTAACCCTGAGTGATGCTGGGGCACCACTGTCCTGAGCACTGACCACAAAAAGGACATAAAACTCCCCCAAGACAGATACGTCTTCCAGAAGAACATGAGAGGAGGCATGAGGGGAAAGCCTGGCCTGGCCTTTCACCTGTGATTCCAGTGGTCACTCAGCTGATCTGGATCACCATCTCCCTGCACCCCCAAGCAGTGACCTATCACCAGCTGCCTGGCAAAAGCATGAAGGGCACTTCCACCCACAGCCATATCTACAAAATAGCATCTATGACAGATACTGAAGTTGCCCCCTGTCCAAATATCTGACACCAATCTTTTAGATAACTTTATAACACCCCAGTTTGTTATAGTGTGGTGGCTTGCATGTTGCTGTGATACTGGAAACTATGGCTCCAGTATTTTAAATATCAGTAGGGCCACCCACAGTGGACAGCTTTCAGATGAGCTTGCAGACAAAGACAGACTAAAAAGAAGAAGAAAAGGCAGACTGCTTCTGATTGTTAAATGAAAACCTTACAAACAACATCAGAACATTGTCACATTTAGTTCAGGAAGAGGAAAACATTATGAAGAGTAGCAGAACACTGTCAGATACAGTGCCAAATAATGAAAATATGGTAACGCCAGAGTGCCAGAAGATGAGCCCCTCAGGTTGGAAGGCACTCAAAATAACTGGGGAAGAGCTGCCTCCTCAGTATAGAGTTGACTGTGATGATGCGAATGGAGTAAGGCTTTCAGGATCTTCATTTACTGATGGGGTAGAATGCAGAAGGAGGAGAAACAGCTATGAATAGTCATTATAATCGGAATATGGCACTGTAAACATGTGTTAATAATAATAATATTGAATGTACAATGTATGAATCTAGGAAAAATTGGAAGTTATCAAAAATGAAATGGAGTGTATAAGATGGATATCCTAGGCATTAGTGAGTTGAAATGGACAGGTGTTGACCATTCTGAATCTGACAATTATAGTTTACTATTCTGGGAATGGCAAAATGAAGAGGAATGGTATTAATACCTTCATTTCACAAATGTGGAACCTGAGACTCAGAGCGTTAAGTGACTGCCTCAGGTCACACAGTCAGGTAGTAGTAGAGCAGGGATCAAACCCCGATCTGTCTGACTCCAGCACAGAAGAGTTAGGCTGGCTTGACCCTGTACCAACTGTGAGACCTGGGCACGGAGGTCCATCCTTCTCAACCTCAACCTCCACTCTCTGCATGGGGATGATGATGACTCAGCTTTGATTGCTCGTAAAGTGGAGCTGGGAGTTGGGGTGGGACAGGCTCAAACATCAGTTGGGATTAAGGGAATATGTATCCATCCCCAGCCTGATACCTCCTGGTTCTGGTCTCGAGTGTCCTCTGTGTGGTACAGCACAGCCCACTTGCCCACGGCTGACACGTTGACCCATAGGCATGGGTACTGGGGCACCTTCTTGCCCTCCAACTCCTCTTGGTCCCTGATGTTTGTCTCAATCAGATGGCACGTGGATTTCTGGGTCCACACACTGGGAAGAGTACACACACAAACAACAAACACACATAAACCCTTTAGCACTAGGGAGACATAGAGAGCACCCGGTTTGCACCTTTGGTCCCTAGGAAACATTAAAAAGACACAAGATAGGGGCCCTCATCCTGCCCACTACTCCAACACTGACAACAGCTTGAGCCCAGGCCCTTGGACAGAGAGGCAGAATCCTAGAACCAGAAAAATGGAGCTAGTCAAGGCCTGAGACATCATGTACATGCATGGTTATTAACCCTGCTGCTCATCCAAAACTTTAAAAATTAAATTCCTGAACCCAAGTCACACCCAGAGCAAGTAAACCAGAATCCTCTTGGATGGGTGAGGCCGGCCCTAGTCTTACTTAAAGCAATCTCCCTGATGTTCTGATGAGCATCAGGACTGAAACCTAGTTATCCACATGATCTTCATCTGACAGAGAGGGAATGAGAAGCTCAGACAGGGCGAGTGACATTTGCAAGGCCACATGGAACTGGAAGCCAGACCTGGAGGCTTTAGAATCAGTGCCCTACCCCCAAAAAAGAGAGTTTATGTCCAGGGGGTTGATTTGTGAAGGTGAGGAAGATGGTGGGGACAGAACTTAATCTGCAGATAATGAGTTGCAGGCACCCAGCTGCTCTGAGCAGTGTTGCATTTAGTAAGATTTCAACCTGGAATCACTCCAGCATTGTAAATAGTGAGGAGGCCCAGGCCCAGGAGAGGCCTACAGACTTATCAACACATTAGCCAATCAATTGTGACTTATCTCCCATTTATCCGGCAGGAGACTCATTGCCAGAAGTGAGAGGTGGCCTTTCAGCAACTGTAACGTGCCTAGAGGCAAGGGTCTGAGACATGTTCTAAGGACACGCACAGAAAATAGAGTGTGTTTGTTTCAATGAAGAGCCAAGTCCAGAACATCACAGCTGTTCTTTAAAAGCTCCGGCAGTTGACATCTCAGGAAGGACACTGAGATTTCGCTGCAGATTCTGGAACAGTGTTGCAGGGAGTGCATTTCAACTCAATGTAAGCACTTACTACTTATCAGAAAAACCCAAGAGTAAAGTGGAATGAACAGAATTAGTGTGTACTCCCTCACTTGAGATATCTAAGAGGCCAGATGTCTACCTACCTGCTATGTTTCAGAGGAGAGGTCAAATAAATGAGCTATCAAGTTCTGTGAGTCTCTGATGGCTCCAGGGTTCAAACTAACACCGCGGCTCTTGCTATTTCTTATGAGAAGGGTGTCCTGTAACTGTTCCTTCCAGATCCCAGACTAATGAGGCTTAGTCTAGCCTACTCTCATCATACTTCAACCTTGAACCTGAGAATGAAGATTATCTAGACTTTCTTACTGGTGTGAGGGCCAGGGGCAGGTCAGGAAGAATGCAGGCTGTTCACAGACCCCAGGCCCTTGGGGGAAATCCCTGGGGGGAGAGGACAGGCCAGGAGGTGTGGATACCTTTTCTGGTAGAGGGGCAGCATGGTGGTGCCCAGGATGTAGTATGTGATAGCAGCGCACACCACCAGAGCCACGCCCAGGCAGAGGGCTCGAGTCTGTCCCCGCTTCTGGGCCATTACCAGCTTTTTCCCCATGTCCACTGGGGGCAGTGATCATCTCTAGGGTGACAGAGGCAAACAGAAGTAAGATCAGTACTGGTGATAGGCAAGCCACAAAGAGGAGGACAGGTGATAAGGGGTGTGCAAAGATATCAACATCTCAGCTATTTCCATATGGAGTTTTGCAACGCCAGAGTGCTTTCTGACCACATGTAAGCCTCTCTCCAGCTCTTAGAGGTGCATATTATCATCATCCTTCTCCTGTGTGGGATCCTTGGTCCAGAGAGGTAAAGGGACTTGCCCAAGACCAAACAGTGAGTATGGTCAGCTGAATAGTGGCCCCCATCCTAAAAAACACACATGATCTAACCCCTGTAAACTGTGAATAGTAACTTAAATGGCAAAGAGTTTTCAGAAGTGATTAAATTAAGGGTCTTGAGATGGATTATCCAGGATAAATGCAACCACAAGGAAGATAGGAAGTGGGAGGTTACAAATAAACATAGAAGGAGAAGGAGATGGGACCACAGAGGCAGAGACTGGAGTGATGGAGACAGCCACAGTCCAAACAGTGCTGGCATCTCCCAGAAGCTAGAGTAGGCAAGAGACACAGGAGCCTCCACAGGAAACGTGGTCCTGCTGATACCTTGGTTTCAGCCCAGTGATGGTGGCTTTAGATTTCTGGCCTCCAAGCCTATAAGAGTAGGTGCCTGCTGTTGTGACTACCAACAGATGGTCATTTGTTAAAACAGCCACAGGACATAAAGGGTAGGGGCGGAACATCATGCCATTTCCACTAGGACCCTGTATCTCACAGAGAAGTCTGGGATGTTGCACCATCTGCCAGAACAGTCCCACGGCTGGGCTGGCTGGGGATGCAGAGAGACGAGGAGGGCCCCAGAAGACAGCCGTGGACATGGGGGTGGGCAAGAGGTTTCCTTCCAGTGGGCCCGCTCTAAGAGCAGATGGTCTCCTTCAAGCAAGGGAAAAAGAAGAAAAATTTGTCTTTGAGTGGATTCTGACTCATAGTGTCCCCATGTGTGTCAGAATAGAACGGTGCTCCATTGCGTTTTCAATGGCTGATTTTTCACGTATAGATCACCAGATGTTTCTTCCAAGGTGCCTCTGAGTGGATTCAAACCTCCACTTTGTGGTTAGTGGTTGAGCACTTAAACTGTTTGTGCTGCTGAGGGACTCTGAGGAAAGAAAGTCTCTTATTTCAGGGCAAAGGTCAAATCAGCATGGAAGGAGGTAGTTGCAGAATTTCTTCTTTCCCTCTTCTTCTGGTAAGACCTCCCCACACATTCATCTTCAGGGGCGCTACCCTACCCCATAGTAAGCAAAGCATCCCAACCTGCCCTGCTAGGATCACTGGTCACTCTTTCTCAGAAAAATCTGGGCAAAGTGTTTTCAAGGAACAGTCCATTAATCTGTGCAACCTAGAGTCCTAGAGTCCTGATACGGCGCTATAGGATAAGCACTGGGCTGCTAACCAAAAGGTCAGTGGTTCAAACCCACCAGCTGCTCCTTGGAAATCCAGTACAGGGTCACTATGAGTCAGAATCGACTTAACAGCACTTAATGACAATAATAACACCTAAAGCCCCAAGGAGTCCCTGGGTGATGCAAATGGTTATTGGGCTCAGCTGCTAACAATGTGTTCAAGTTCATTCATAGACACCTAGGAAGAAAAACCTGGTTATCTATCTATCTCTGGAGAATACAGCTGCTGGAAATACCATGGAGCATGGTTCTACTCTAATATATATGGAGTTACCATGAGTTGGCACCAACTAAATGCACCCTGAAAATCCAGAGCCACAGAGCTGCCCATCTTCCACTGCACAGTCTTCTCCTGGGTTCTGTGAACTGCCCCATAGCCTTCTGGTAAATTGTTGTTTTGTTGTTGCTCTTGGTTGATTGGTTAACATTAACCAGAGTCCATCTCTCCATAAAATACCAGGAACAATGAGGCTTTCTGCTCCTGTAAAGACTTACTGCCTCAGAAATCCTATACAGGGTCACTATGAGTCAGAATAGACTCGAAGGCACACACACAAAAACTTTGTTTGATGATAAATTTTAACCATGTATCAGGGAGGAATTCTTTTTTTTCCTGGCCAGGTCCCTAGAGTATTATGTACATTGTTTTTAAAAATCAGTGCACATCCTATGGCATTAGTCCATAGGGATTTAAAGCCAAGTGTTTTATTTTCCACTCAGACTTCTTTCCTAACTATAGGACTATTTCAAGAGTTCAGCCAGAGATCCTTGGCCCTGCCCCTTTCTCTCCCATAAACCAATAGCCATCAAATCAATTCTGTCCCATGGTGACCTCGAATGCTATGGAGTAGAACTGTTTCTTAGGGCTATATTGGCTGCAGTCTTACAGAAGAAAGATTGCTGGGCCTTTATTTCATGGTTCTGATGGATGAACTCATGCCACCAAGATTTAGGCTAGAGTTGAGCACAGTCTGTGCCACCCTCTCTCCCCACCCCTCTCCCTACTCTCCTAAAGAGGAGAGTCCATCTTCAGGTACCAAGGATATAACCTGTCACTAGCTCCTCTGGGAAGTGGTCTAGCTCTCCCTTTCTACCAAAGATAATTGACAAGCATGGCATCCCATCACAACTTCTCTCCCTCATCTGCATCACCATCAGGGAGTGTTCCTCTAAATTCTAACGGAGATCTGGCACATCTGCTGAAAAGAAGATGTATTCAGTTCCTTCTATTATTTTGAGGGGAGTCTTGGTATAGTGCTTTAGGATAACCACTAGACTCCTAATCTCAAGGTCGGTGGTTCAAACCCACCAGCTGCTCCTTGAAAATCCTATACAGGGTCACTGTGAGTCGGAATCGACTTGACAACACTTAGCAACAGCAATAACATTATTTTGCAGGAATGAGATGGATTACATCTTAGCTTAGTCAGTTTCAGTTTAACAAGTCCATCCATATATTCGTCTGTACAGGAGCATCATATAGGGACAAAAAAGCCCTCACCACCTGCTTCCCCAGGGCTGTCCAAGGTCACTGCACATTGACCCAGTCAGAGATACAAAGAACTTGTGGCTTAGGGCTAACAGGGAATGGTGTCTTAGAGGATGTAGGCTGAGCACCCACTTCTCCCCTGGTTAGGGGGCACTTGTGGGACGCTTTCCTGGAAATGACTCCTATCTGCCTAGCTAATTGTTATCCCACTTTCCAGAGCCTACTGCCCCAGCACTCCAGGCACTCCTGAGGATGGTGCAGGTTGGACCTCTGCTGTCTGGGAGCTCAGGAGTCAGGGAGGTGAGAAGGACATCTGGAACCTGTGGTTTGCTTAGATTTCACCACTTTGTGCAGCCCTGATCTAGGCATTGCCTACCCCTAGTGAGGGATTTGAAGAGTCATGTCAAATCCTAAAACCAGAGCAAGTCTTAGATAGAAGACTTTGGGGAGAAGCTGGGCTTCAACATGCATTGTGAGAACCTTCAGGCAGGAGGGAAGATGGGAAAAGTTGATATCCCCTGAGGCTCACAGAGGAAGAAATAGGTGTCAGTTGCAACTTGGGAAATTTCATTTAAACTCTAGGAAGAACTTCTCAGTTTAGAGAGTTTCTAAATATCTCTAGTGGTGGTGGCTGTGTGCTGACCAGTCAGTTCTGACCCACTGTGACTCTGTATACTGTAAATCTTTCCTGGAGCAGAAAGTCTCATCTTTCTTCTATGGAGCAGCTGGTAGATTTCAAACTGCTGGCAATGCAGTTAGCAGCCCAATTCATAATCCACTCTGGATATATTTGTTTGTTTGTTTTATTATTATTTAAATTTCTTTCCCTTTAGAAAAGCCCCTTAAGATCTCTGACAGATTTAGAAAAAACAGAACAAAGCAAATGAGGAAGTGTTTTAGAGGGTCCTGTGTGGCCCTACACTTGGGTTGGCATCTTTTTTTCTAAGAAAGACAAAGAATAGAGTATAGGGTTTGAGGCCTTGAGAGGATGAAATCCTGGCATTATCACGTATCAGCTATGCAACTATAAAACAAGATTAATAGCACCTGCTTTAGAGAATTATGATGAAGAGCAAATGAAATAACCAATCCAAGGTATTTATCACAGTGTATGGCCAGTGTGAGCCCTTGTTAAATACGAGTCATTATTATTAACACAGGAAACCATGCCTCATTGCCAAGTGTATTTTTTGTCCCACTAAGTAGGATAAAAGGGGCTCTGGTAGCATAGTGGCTGCTAGCCTCAAGGTCGGCAGTTCAAGACTATCAGCCATTCTGTGGGAGTAAGATGAGGCTTTCTGCTCCTGTAAAGATTTACAGCCTCGGAAACCCTGTACAGGGGGGTCGCTATGAGTCGGAACCAACACCACGGTACATAACAACAACAACAAGTAGGATAAGCTCTAGACTGTAAGGCTGGTTTAAAGCACAAGTTTGGCACTTCAAACTCACCAGCCGCTTCTTGGAAACCCTGTACAGGATCACTATGGGTCTAAACCGACTCAATCACACTTAACAACAACAAATGTAGGATAAGCACTACACCATAAGGTTGGTTTGAAGCACAAGGTTGGTGAGTCAAACTCACCAGCCACTCCTTGGAAACCCTATAAGGGTTGCTTTGAGTTGGAACTGACTCAACAGCATTTAACAACAACAACAAGAAGTCCACTGTGACAACAGTCACATGTGGTTTTGACCTCCCACCTGCTGTCCTATGATATGAGACCAAAAGTTCTGAGTTACCAGAGTGCTGAGCACCCACTGACCACCAGACTACCAGCACAGATGCCAGCATCGCCCCTCTGGAATTCAGAACCTCAATGAACAGCTCTAAGAGGAAGGGAGTGCCCACTGCCTGCCCCTCCCCCACCCTCCCTGTCCATCTCTGCTGCTTACCCCCAGCCCTCCTGCCAGCTCCCATGGAGGAATCATTCCCCAAGTGCTCTCAGACCAGTACTCACAGTCTCCTGGGTCTCCTGTGAGTTTTCAGCAGGCAGACAGTTTCTTTCTGCCTGGCCCCCACCCCAAAAGAGGCCACGGAGCTCCAGCAGGAAGCGCAGCCTTCCAGGCCATCCCGAGGGAGGCCGCCCTTGGTCCCCATCTGGGATAAGCCTCCATGCCCAAACATGGTCACGTCTGAGCACACACAGCTCCAGGACACAAACTCAGAGAGCAGGTAAGAACCAGCAGGGCCGTCAGCTGCTACACAGGCCCTTGCACCTGTATTACCTGGAGTCTGGTGGGAAACAAGACAGATTTCAAACAAAACAAGCAAAACAGAGCAGCCTGGGAAAGATAGCCTTGGTTTATTTGGAACCATTTCTTTTACATTCCGTCTCTCTGGGCTTGCAGAGAATGCCAGAATGGAAAATTATTTTCCTTTTGTTGATGTGGGGGAAAGAGGAAGAGTTGAAACTCTAGAGGTTGGGCTTGTCAATCATGGAGAACTAGATGCTGGCATTTCCATGATGGAGCAGCTAAACCCCTCCTACCTTTGCAATTTACATGCTATGTGATCCTGGACAAGTCAAAGCACCTCTCAAAACCTCAACTTGTTCATCTGTGACATTGGGAGTTTTAAAAGAAGGGGATGACATTGGTCCAGGCAACATCTTGTTCTGTTGAGCATGGGGAAACTGTGAATTGGGAACCGACTCCACGGCAGCCAACAACAATTCTCTTTTTACCCAACAGGTCAGATGAAGGCAATGAAACTGAGATTTACGGCCCTTAAGGGATGGGTCCAAGGTTATTTTGCTCCAAATGTCAGAACAGATTCAGAACTGGCCCTTCCAGATTGCAATATTGGGACTCTTTCTGCCTCCCTGATGCTGCTCTAGGACAAAGATGTTAGCCTCCCTTACACATCACCCACCTGCCAATAAAGCCTCTGGAGGTCACCTCAAGTGTGCCCAGTCCCCCATAGGAAGTGGACAAAGGTTGGCATTCCTTGCTTAATAAGCCCTCCACGTCTCTCACTCCTGCCCCAACCACCATCGAGGCAGTGGGCTGTGAAATAAGAGTGACTGTTCAGGTCTTCCTGATACACTCTCTAGTGGTTAGTTTCCTTCCACCTCCCCTTTCCTAATTGAATCTTATTAATAGAAGAGCAAATTGTCTGTTTAATGGGCCTCATAGCAAAAGGGTGTCTCGGAAGGCCAGCCTGAGATCCTGGCAAGCAGTTTGCAATGAAGGACACAGGACTTGGAATAAACATGGGGTGCTAAGTGGGCTCTGAATGCCTCAGACCAGTAGTAGCCCAAGGACAGTCCTTGATCCTTTCAGGGGCCAGAAGAGTCCTCCTGGGAGCCATGGACTCATCCAAAATTGCCAGTGCTTCTAGTGGTCTCTTAGGGGAGAGATGCATAGTGCAACAGACTGAAAGGCTGCTAATTTTTAAAGATGGTCACATTTGGAGTTTATAAACAGACATCACATTCACATCAAGATTCTTTTCCTCTTCTGCTCTTTCCTATAAGTCAGTGGCCTAGCTCTGGAGGGGATATAGAAGGAAACCTGGATTCTCCATTGTAAGGGAGATGTGTATCATAGATGTAAGATCAAGGAAAAAAGGATGTTATCACAGTGAATACTTATGTTTTATGTATTTATAGGGAGTAAAAGAAAAAGGAAAAACAAAACAATTGATATCATCTGAGTCAATTCCAACTCTGGGCAACCCCATGGGTGCAAAGCAGAACTGCTCGCCATAGGGTTTGTTTGCTTGTATGTGTTGTTGTTGTTGTTTTAAACACTCAAGCATATATAATAATTTATACCACGAAAGGGCACATTCTGTAAGTCTGTCAGCTCTCATTCCCTCTCTTCCCATGAATCTCGAGTCCTCAGCTGCTCCCTCTATCCATGTCCTCATCTCTGCCTCCATCTCTGGTGTTGCTGCTTCTCTAGATAAGGTTTCGCATTCAGCTTGTGCTCTTCTCCCTTGATGGTCCTAGGGTCCTTTGTTTCTGGATTGTAAGATTAACTGCTCCCCCTTTTTTTTTTTATTGTGAATTATATGATAGTTTACATGAGAGAACTTTAGCTTTACATTCATTCCATCGTATATCATATCATTTCATTGCCATGGTTCCAGTTCCCTCCATGCATCATCAACCAACCAAAGGGTATATCCTAGAAACCCACTCCCTACACTTCTCCCCCCACCCCCCGACTCTGGATCCAAGGTCCCCAGACGCTTCATCAATCCACATCATCGTCTCTGTATCTATCTCAGGCATCTCTGTTTCTCTGGGTAGGGTCCCTCTCTCGGTTTTTCTCCGTTGATGGTCCCAGACTGGAGAATTAATCACTCCCTTCCTTGTTACAAAACATCTACCTTTGCATTTCCAAACCTCATAATCCGTCCTGATTAGCATTATTCACTACAGTTTCATGAGTTACCCATCTGTATTTCCTTTCATCAGCTCCTCCCAGACAGATTGAATAGTACCCACTGGAGGTTCTGCCTTCCTCCATGCCCCCTAGAACTAGGTTCCCTCTTGAAAGCTTATAAACCAGTCACTTCTTGCCTTTGTAGTCCCCCCCTCCCCATTTGAGTATCCAATATCCAAGTTGCCCATCTCCGTCCACTCTGTGTGTGGAGGGGGTGGGAATGTTTCTTACTGTAAGGATTTGTTCCTTCTTTTGAGTTGCTGCTCCATAGGTATAGGTCAAATTCATCAGATTGTATCAGCTCACTTTTTTTTTTTTCCTCTCTTCTTTCTTCTCCTAGTTGAGCTCCGATCATCCAGTCATCCGGTCCAGGTCACATGGCTATCATCTGCAAGTGTAGGCGCTTCTGTGCACATGCCCTCTCTTCCGATCAGCCGGTAGCTCCACTCTCCTCGCAAGTCCTCTGTGGCCACACCACCGACTCTGGGCCCAAGAGTCCCCAGGTCTCCTCACACTGCTTGCCAACCAGGTCCCCAACTGGGTCCACAGAAGTCCAGTGAAAATTGTAGGGCTTAGCTTGCCACTTCATTACTGCTTTTACCCCACTTCCCCCCATCGGTGATGTGTATGGTCACCAATCAGAGTGTGCATTTCCGTTGAGTCTTAGTCTTGGAGGGGGGTTTGCGTTGAGAGGACCTGGCCACTTGCCTTGATGTTTCCTATGGAAGCGATTTGTTTGTTCTTGTAGTAACAGTCCGTCTGCCTCCATTTTTCCTGCAGGTCTTTCTTTCAAGAGGTATCTTTTATTCTCCTAGCCACTCCAGGCTGGTCTGCTTATCCTTTCAAGTGGAGATTTCTCATCTCTGGAGATCTGGATGTGGTTCCGGATTCTACCTATAGTTTTATGTATTGCAAAGGCTCTGCAGGAAGCCTCGTTCACTGGGTATGCTGTAGCCCCATTTTAGGAATTCCAATCAGTCATAGGCAGAAGACGGACTTACAAGCCTTCTAGTGTGATGTTTCTGACTATTC